AAAATAACATCAAATCCCTCCTCTTGTACAGTGACTTCACCATCGTCTCCTCCAGTGAGATGATGTCATTGAACAAACTTCCTCCTCATCCTCCTCCTCATCCTCCTCTTCTTCTTCTTCTTCTTCTTCTTCTTCTTCTTCTTCTTCTTCTTCTTCTTCTTCTTCTTCTTTCTTTCTTTCTTCTTCTTCTTTCTTCTTCTTCTTCTTCTCCTTCTTCTTCTCCTCCTCCTCCTCCTCCTCCTCCCTCCTCCTCCTCCTCCTTCTTCTTTCTTCTTCTTCTTTCTTCTTCTTTCTTCTTCTTTCTTCTTCTTTCTTCTTCTTCTTCTTCTTCTTCTTCTTTCTTCTTCTTCTTCTTCTTCTTCTTCTTCTTCTTCTTCTTGTGGTCATGTTGGAGGACACGTGGAGTGTACCTTAGTGAACCTGTGTGTACCGTAGTGTACCATAATGTACCTGTGAGTACCTTAGTGTACCATAATATACCTGGGTGTACCTCAGTATATCTGGGTGTACCTGGGTGTACCTTAATGTTCCTTAGTGTACCTAGGTGTACCTTAGTGTACCTGGGTGTGCCTTAGTATACCTTAGTGTACCTGGGTGTACCTTAGTGTACCTGGGTGTACCTTAGTATACCTTAGTGTACCTGGGTGTACCTTAGTGTACCTGGGTGTACCTTAGTATACCTTAGTGTACCTGGGTGTACCTTAGTGTACTTGGGTGTACCTTAGTGTACCTGGGTATACCTGGGTTTTTTTGTATGCACTTGGGTGTATCATATTGTATTCGTGTCCTGGGTGTACTATAGTGTACCTTACTGTACCTTAATGTATTTGGGTGTACCATAATGATAATTAATTTAATATGGACGAGTGTACAGGTGAGAGAGAGAGAGAGAGAGAGAGAGAGAGAGAGAGAGAGAGAGAGAGAGAGAGAGAGAGAGCCAGGTACCACCCAGTTACCACCAGTTACCACCACTTACACACCTGACATCCTCAACACACTTCTCCCCTAATACTTACCTGGACGTGAGGTGAGGTAGAGAGGGGAGGAAAGTGAGGGAGGGAGTAGGAATGGAGGGAGGTGAGGGTGCTTGAACGAACAGGGGGGTGGGGCTGCCTCTCACCTGTTGATGATCCACCCTCACACACTTCCTCTCTACCCCCCCACACACACAAACACGTACGTTCATTCCTCCATCCGCTTGTGTGCTTGTTTGGACACATCGTTGGTGAACTACTTCTGCGTCACCCTGTACTTCACTTGTTAAATAAAGTAAGAACACTGGAGGCTAATTTTAACATTGCTGAATCTCGGTTGAATTATTTAAAGTTTATGGTAATCTGTTTTTGTCTCGAGTGTGACATTCACATCCTGGAAGTTCATTAGTGTTAAAACCTTAGTGTTAAATGTAGGTTAATGTGTTATTGTTGACTGTAGGTTAACATGGGGTTATTAAGTACTGAGGAGTAACGTTGTCTGTACTGTAACACACGACCTGTACTACAAGTAACTACATAATATTGTCTAACATTACAGCATGGAGATGATCTAACACCAGGAGCATTTCAGTCTTCCATTTCTTTAGGTTTACAACATATATGTATTACAGTTGACTTACTACAGCATGTTGTTGATGACCAATACTGTTACTACTACACCAGCTGTTATGGTGGTGTAGTAGCAGACTGCCTGAAGGAGTATGGCAGCATGTGTGTCTTTGTGAGGCAAAAGACAGTTATAAACAGGTGCCTCGCCGCCTCACTCACTCATACCATAAAACAGCGCTACTACAGGCACAGGGCTGGCAAATGTTCGTCTGTCGAAGTTTCCATGAACGTTTTGTTGTTAGCTGAAGGGGAACGGAACGCCCTTCTAGGTGTTCGTGATTGCTCTGTTGGCGCTGTTTTTGTGGTACGGTCTTATGCATTGACCCTCCCCCCCCCAGCATCCTTGCAACATGCACAGAGTCTAACACAAGATAACCGCAACTCAAGACTGCAACTTAACCCTTAAAACACCAAATTCTGAAAGAGTCGGACATGGAACACAATCGGTGTTTTTTCTTCTTCAGGAGGCCAGTTGACCTCCGTCTTCCTGTGCCGTAATTCAGAATTTGGTCGTTCGTGACTAATCCTTTAGTGAAGGTCTTGCTGTAGCCATAACTGATGCTCTCGTTCGTCCATCTAACTTCAGAGGGTTCAAGCTCGTCAGTCATCATCCTTGAAACATACGGCGCTGACCCTAACATCTTGAGGAGCGACCAGGAGGAAGAAGACTCCACAGATACCGGCACTGAGGTTACCCAAGACTCCTCGCCACCAACCAGCGACTCTTCCTTAAACTTATCCAATCTATCTGGAGTCTCAACTCTAAGATTCAGTCCAGATTACCGACACTCGAATGAAAGCGACGACGGCAGCTACACCGACCCAGGATCTCAGACTGACACCTCCACTGACACTCTTGTCGCTGACGTCACCCACTACCAGACTGATGTTGTGGAGGTGAGGGAGGCGTATGTGGAGTATGACCAGGTGACTGGAGCCTTTATAGAGTTCCCGGACACTGAGGTGGCACACAGCCAATCCGAAAACACTCCGGACACACTCATACAATACCCCGACGCTCACGTTACGTACAGAGAGTACGACCACAGCTCTGGTGCGTACATAGAGTATCCAGGTACACGAGACACATACGACCACAGCTCTGGTGCGTACATAGAGTATCCAGGTACACGAGACACATACGACCACAGCTCCGGGGGAATTATAGAATATTTAAGCCGGAAAGAAACTTTATACGAGAAACAGCAGACTACAGGAGCCTTTATTGAATACCTGAACGATAATAGTGGAGACGAGGACCTCACACGAAGCCCGACCATCGAGGATTTAAGTTCCTTAGGGGAGAACGGCGACTCCTTCTTTGTGAACTTTGAGGAAGAGTTAGAGCGAGTGGAAAGGCAGTATCCGAACTTGCAAGCTGAACATTTATTAGCCGGCCAGGAGACAGAAGAACAGGAAGAACTCGTAGACGTTCCTCTGTGGGTTTGTGAAACAGTAAAAGAACTCAACCGGTGCGCGACCATCACTGAGGAGGACGAAGAGGAGGAGGAGGTGGTGGTGGTGCAGCGAGAGAAGCTGGAGACCTCCAACATGGGCCAGTACTACTCCAGCGCCTCGGGGGGCGGGCCCTCCAGAGGCGAAATGTCGGGATCTTTACCCTCGTCGCCTCGGTCCTCAGAAGAATGGAGAATGTCGATGGCGTCCACAGCGACGGTGGCGTCCACAGCCACTGCAGACAGCGATGACACTCTGGCCAAGGACATGTCGGAGCTCTCGTCTGTCAACTCTCGTCTCTCGTGCCTGGATGAGGTTCAGGACGAGGTGAGACACCCCTCTTCTACCCCTTCTGGGGTAGACCCAAGCGCCGCACACAAACTCACACCGCAGTCCAACCACAAGCGGCAGACGAGCATCAAGGACGCTATTGATGAGCTTGAGAGTATTGAACAAGCTGCCCAGACGCTACTGCAGAAGCGACAGTTCTCTACCGAGGACGATCGTACGACACCAGTCTCAGCCTCTGACACAGTGACTGTCCTCCCCACTAGTGTGAGTGATACTAAAGTGACTCTCAGTGAGAAGTTCAGTCCACAGTCTAAGAGAAAAGTGACGCCAAGTTCACCATCACTCCGAAGTGAGACTCTCGTAGAAGAAACAGAGAACACACTGCCGACACACACACCCGAGGAGGATAAGACGAACACCGGGTCATCCAGCGAGCAAGTGGACACGATCATTACACCTGCCAAGACTGATAAGGAGACGCCATGTCCAAGTGTTGAAACCTCAGTCACTCCGGCAGATCTTACTGTTAATGGTGACTCAACAACCAAGCCGACGAAGGAAGATCAAGTGGTTAACTCCAAGTCGGAAGTGAAGCCGCCTCTTCCCCCGACGGCAGGAGGCCAGCCGCCCAAGCTAGAAGTTAAGCGTCGCTTGTGGTCGAGGTCTAAGGAGCTCCAGCCTTACATCTCGCGAGAGTCTTACAACGACGACAGAGTGTTGAAGGAACTGGAGAGGTTACGCCGTAGTTACCAAGAGAGTGACCTGAACGACTTCTTGGACGCTCTGGAAAATACGGCCATTTCCGACGACATTGAGGAAGCTTTCCTACGTCAGCTGCTGGTGGACATCAGCGAGGATGTCGAGGACGGGACTCGGGAAGCCGAGGATTCACCTCAACTGGAGGAGGAGACGATAGTCGCCGCCACGCCAGAGACCGTAACTCAGGTGGCTGATGAGGTGCCGCCAGAACCCCCCCGACCATCACCTGCCACAAGCAAGTTTGAGAAGGTCAAAGAGAGAATTTTGGAGATGATAACAATACGTAGAGCTGGGAGGGTCATAGACACCACCAACTGTGAGACACCCACCAGCTGTGAGACACCCACCAACTGTGAGACACCCGCCAGCTGTGAGACACCCGCCAGCTGTGAGACACCCGCCAGCTGTGAGACAACCTCAACTCTGAGAGAAGACTCTAAGAGCTTGACTGAGGATTCTGGTCGTTTCGAAACTCCTCAGATCAGTAGGTCGATCACACCTCAGTCACTCAGACCAGACACACCAGACTCCAAGTCCAGCAGACCACAGACTCCAGATGTGACCAAGGGAGAGGAGGGCAAGAAGAGCTTCAACATCACAGAGTTCTTGAAGAAAGGTTCACCCAAGTACCTGAGAAAGAAGTACAAGGAGAGAAAGAACCGTAAATCAGATGTGTTGACAACGTCAGAGAGCGAGAGTGAGGACCCAGAGGCCGGGAAGAAGGATATCGGAAATGGTAACAGTTTGTCTCAGAGGAAAGTACCATTTACGGGAAGTCAGTCAAGTCTAAAGGGAAGCAATCGATCGCTGAGCACCTCACAAGAACTCAAAAAGGAAGTTCGCTTTGATCTTGACGGTGAAGAACAGAAGAAAGGTTTGGAGGATACAAGTGGCAGAGACGCCAGAACCGAGTTAACAACACCGGTGAGAGTCGAGGAGAAGTGGAAAGAGCAACACAGATACTCGGGTCCTCAGATGATCACGTGTGAGGCGCAGCTGCAGGAGACCGTCATACTGAAGGAGTTTGAAGAGACGACGCAGGATATGGAGAGCGACACGTCCTTTCCGCTACCCACCACAGTACTCGACATAAACAGCCGAGCAGAAACATTACTCCCGAGGCTGCCTGAGAGAGTTAGGCCACCCAGGAAGAAGAAGAAACTCATCCCCACGTCTGTTGAGGAGCTGAGTGGTGGAGACCTTTCTGATAACTCTACCTCCACTGTGACCTCCAACAGCTCACTGAAGGCGGTGGATCCCAGAACGGAGTCGCTGAGAGTCAACGAGGCAGCCAAGGAGGAGTCACCCCCGCCCCTCCCTCCATATGAAGAAATTATCGATCTGCCTAAAACTAAACCCAAATGTGTTGAGGTGGTGGAAATGACCCGGTCTGAGGGCGTGACCTCGGAGGTGAGAGAAGAGTTTGTAATGACAGTGACCGAAGAAAGTGTTAAGAATATTGAGTCATCCTTATCCGTGTCTTCATCCGCCTCGATGACGCTACTCCCTGACACCACTGTGACATCCTCCACTCCTGCCACCACTACTGTACCACCACCACCACCACGCTCTGCCACTGTTGCCACGTCCTCAGCTGCCGCATCTACTGGGACTACGACGGAGAGTATGTCTGCTCCACCACCCATCCCGCCCGCCCCGTCACCATCCAGCCTCTCCACCTCAGTTGTTGAGGTGGAGGTTCTCGTGTCGCCGCTGCCTGTGACCTCCGTGGCATCCATATCTGTTGCTCCGTTACCTGAGAGTGCCACGCTGGTGGTGTACCCCGCCAGGACCTTACCCCTGCCTGTAATCCCCGAGTCCCTGCAGGAGGACCAGGTGTCCCTCCCCACTCCCAGCGAGCCCACCGTCTCATTCAGCAGCCTCGGAGGGTCGGCACCAACCACGCCGCAGGCTGGGGAGGAAAACCTTCCCTCCCTCTATGATAACGTCAACCCCTTCAAGGAGATGCTGGAGCTGGAGGCTAGACTTCTCGAGGGCGAAGTATCTGAGCCTCCAACTGTTACCACCACTACAGTAAACGTTAGTTCCGAGTTGACGAAAGTAGAGACATGTGAAGTGCCACAACCGGCCCAGGAGGTGACGTCAGGCCACTTAAGTCTTCCGCAGGCAGCTCGCCAGAGCCCTGACTTGGAGAAGAATGAAGTAGTCGACCTTGACGCGCTTGCAGCTCTGACCGCTGAGATGTTTAACTTCACCGACGGCTTGGATAAAAAAGTTCCTTGGAATAAAAACAAGAAAAAGGAAAGTTATAAAGCACCGGTTGCTGAGGTCAATGAAGTATCTGATACGTCCACATCTGTGATGAAGTCAGAGCGTCTGACGGAGAAAGTCATTGATGAATCGGTAACAACAGCTGAGGAACTTGAGGCTGCATCCTCCACGACGCTCTCACTACCACCACAAGACGAAGTAAGAGTTAAGAAAGAGACTAAGGAAATTGTGACACAAACAGAGCCTGAGATACCCTCTCGAGGCCTGTCTGTGAGGGAGGTGGCCAGGAGCAACACCATCGCCATACAGACCGACGCCACCAGGTATGTTCGGATGTACGAGGCCGCCTCACAGACCGACACGGAGTATGAAACTGACCTCGAGACCGAATCTGAAATAGAAGAAAACACGACGAACAAATACGACCCCGGCAAGTGGTTATACCGACCGACCAGAGAGAACAAGGTGCCGCTGCCCACACCCAGAGACCCCCAGCTCCAGGAGCTGCACAGACAGCAGCAGGCAATGATACAGGAGCTGCAGAAACAGACCGTCATGCAGGAGCGGCGAGAGAAGGACAAGCCAGAGGCGCCACCACGTCAATTCCAAGACAAGATGCCCCTGAAGGTGGTGGACGAGCTGAAGAACGTTCTCTCCGACGTGGACGAGGCCGGACCCAAGCTGAAGAAGGTGGGCGAGCCTCCCCCCCGCTGGGACTCAGACCTCACCTGGGATAACGGTAGGTTGGTTACTAGTGCTACTAATACTCCCCTGGAGCCTAGCAACACCTTAGTTCCTTTCACATCTGCTCAGTCAGACGCTTCGCACTTCCCTGTTGTGCCTCAAGGCTCGCCTGCTGACCCTGCCAGCCAGCCTCATTCTTTCCCTAACCCTATAATGCAAACTCCAGTTCTTGCTCCTGAGAATAAATGCACTAAATCTGAGATGAACGGAAGGTTAGATAGGCGGCCGTCATATTCAGTATCCACAGATGACCTGGCAACTATACCCGAGGAGGCGCTCATGACGAGTGCCAGAATGGTGGGCGGCAGCGGTGGCGACACTCATCAAGCACTGCCCGGAGTCACCCGAGACCTGCCACACCGCCAGCAGGAGGCAGCAACGCCCCGTCAGGAGAGCCCAGCCAAGCATGTTAAAGGTAACGGTACGTGTGTTGATACTAAGCCAGCAGAGAACATAACTACAGCTAAGGTCAGAGCCAACGTGTACCCAGCCTTCGCCCCCGTGGCTAAGATCCCCAGAGGAAAGCCTCCAGTACCTCGGCCAGCGATCCGTCGGCTGTCAGGTGAGGGTCAGGCGCTGGAGGACGGCTACCAGAGTGACCCAGGAGCCCGACGCACTAACGGACGCTATAAACAAATGACGTCAAAAATTAAGCCTTCGATCTCGAGGCCAGAGGACCGAGGCTACGCTACCGACACTGAGGTTGTGACGAAGACCGAAGCAGCGAGTCAGAAAACTCTCCATAGCACCTGGACGCCCCTGGGTCAGCCCGCCCAGTCAGAGCCAGAACCGCCCCAGAGCACGGCAGGACATGGTAAGGGAAGTGTGGAACTAACCCCCCAGGCGCCCCCAGCTCCTGTAGCAGCCTCCTCTCCTGATCCTCCTCCTCTTCCTCCCCCTCCCTTTGAGTCAGCTTTTGATGAGCCTCTCCCACCTAGCTCTAACATTCCTAGAACAGCAGATATGAACACACAAGCAGAAGATGACCCAATAAGTGACAGTAGACGTAGTGAAGAAGATGTCTTCCGAATGTACCTTAATCTGTTAAATCAACAACATCGGTGTCTTAATGATGTAGAGAAACTATCAAGTCTCTCAGTCGTGTCCTCAGCTGGTGGTGCTCCCCATAGTCCACCAGTGAAAGATAATTGTGACATCCCAACGAGCCAACAAGAGTCACCACCTCCCCTACCTCCCCCTCGCCTTCCCCCTCCCCCACCTACGTCCCCCAGATGCTCCCGCGATGCCTGGCTCCTGGCGCCAGGCACTGCCAGTGTTGATCGTGGCGTAGCCACGGCAGAGTCGCTATACCCGTGCCAGCCATCCCATGCCCAGTCTGGCTACCCGACAGACCCAGAACTATCGTACCGCACAGGGCGGCCTCGACGGCCTCTCACCTGGTGCTCTCAGCTCACTCCGGCCGCCATCTCTCACGACCAACTTCACGACCCGACCGCAGCCACTCACGACCACCATAAACACTCCAAGTCGTTAGGTGGTCGAGCCAGCAGCCACAGCAGGAAGGGTGAGGTGACGTCCCTCACACACTTGGCACCCAGGACCCGCCCCGTAAGCCTAGCCGGGCCCTACGGCTCTCAGCGGCTGCAAGCACAGGGCCTTGCCGAGTGGCTTTTTTTCGCCCGTCTTGATCGTACAAATAAACTTTTGAGTCAGTTACCATCAAGCATGGAGCTCAAACCTTCACCACAAGTGAACGGCGACAGTGAAGTGAACGACAGCCCGACCAAGGCAGAGGCGCCGCCATCAGACCCCGAGGAGACCATCACTCGGGAAAGTATAGTGAAGTCAGCAAAATATCCCTCGGCGGAACGCAAGACTAAGTCTTCATCCCCACCGCCGCCGCCACGTCCACGCACGCCTATTGATGAGCGTGACCCCGAGCTGGTGTACGCTGAGCGCCGCTACCTGTCCTACTTTGAGGGACCGCCCCACAAGCGTCGCCAGGTACGGAGCACCTCTCAGGAGCCGCCTGAGCCCACGTACCAGCAGCTGGAGGCGCAGCGCCGCTATAACAATTACTTCCTAGGTCCTCCCCGTGCCTCAACACCCACGAGGGAGGAGGCACAGAGGTCACCCCAGCCAGACGAGGCTCAGCTCACAGCTCAGAGACGCTACGAGTCCTACTTTCATCCTGGACCTCCAAGACCTCGATCTACCAAGTCACTAGAACCCCCTGAGCCCGACGCCCAGCAGGTGGAGGCCGAGCGACGGTATTTATCTTACTTCACCGCTGGTCCTCCACACGCACGCTCCTCCTCCCTGGTTGAGTCTTCCTCAGAGCCTGACCCTGAGCAGCTGGAGGCTGAACGGCGATACTTAAAGTATTTTAACCCAGGGCCGCCCCGTCCAGCTCCCAGAAAAGATGATGAACGCACTCCAGAACCTGACGCCGAACAGCTGGAAGCAGAACGCAGATACCTGGCATACTTCAAGCCAGGTCCGCCACGTCCACGCCCGAGGCCGGCCTCCATGACTGAAAAGTCCCCTGAACCGGACCTCCAGCAGCTGGAGGCTGAACGTCGCTACCTGAGCTACTTCAACTCGGGTCCTCCTCGACCCAGACCTCGCAGTGATATAGACATTGACAGAAAACCTGACTTGAGTCAAGTGGAAGCAGAAAAACGTTATATGATGTACTTCCAGGGAACACCCAAGGCCAAGCACATGTCGGACGAAGACAAGAACAAGGAACAAGAAGGGAAACTTCGCATCCCGCCCACCAGGGAGATGTTGGAGGCGGAGGAGAGGTTCCTTAACTATTTCAAACCTATACCTTGTGGGGAGCCCCGACACCTGGTGGAGGAGCCGCCTCTCACTGACCAGGACAAGGTGAGGCAGCAGCTCATGAAGGAGTACTGGGAAGCGATGGAGACGAAAGTGGACCGTAAAGAGAAAAAAATTATCAAAGTGAGTCGTGCAAAACGAGAGATCAAGAGGGAGGCGACGCCGCCCACACAGCGGGAGATGGTGGTGGAGGAGTTCCTGCAGCGGGTGAAGGACCGCAAGAAGGAAAAAGATCTCCATTACGGCGATACAGACGACGAGGACGAGGAGAAGGACGCCCAGAAGACGCTAGAGTTGACGGTGGGCGCCCCTCTCACCCCTGGCGAGGACCCCCAGACACCCACCATCGAGGGCGGAGGCGAGGTGAAGGGCAGGATTGTGGAGGACCTGGGACTCTTTGTGAGCCCCGAGGGTGAGTGCCAGTAGTGCCAGCCCCCAGCCCCCGGGGCACACGTCAACCTGCTTGTATTGTGAACTCTTAACCTCCGTGCCCCCAGCTACGCGACCTCATAGGGGTCAAGATCAAGTGCCGGTAGAGAGCCTATTAAAGGGCTGTAGTGACCTTCCGCCTGTCTAACCTTCCACCGTTGTAACCCTCCTGCTGGAGCACCAGTGTCTGGGGCGACACTCACTAGTTAGCACCATTAACCCGCGTGTGTACAGTGCCATAACCACTTGTTGTAGTCATCACACGGAACAACCAGCTGCTGACAGTGCCATTATATGGGTGACCTGTATTACTTGTTGTGAGGTGTGTGTTGTGGTAATGACAGTGTGCCAAATGACCCAACAAATCATCCTGACCCCCTTCCTCCTTTCACCTTCCTTCCCCCCCCCATCCCTCTCCCCTCCCTACCCCTCCCCCTCAACACCCCTCCCCTCAACACCCCTCCCCTCTCCACCTCTCCCCTCTCCACCTCCCCTCTCCACCCGTCCCCCGACCCCAGCTTACCCTAATAGTAGCATGTGACAGTTTGCAGTGCCACATTATCCCTAGGGCTCTACCTGGGCAGGAGCCAGTTAGTTTATAAGTGGCCATGAAGATGTATTCACAACCTGTAGTTAGTGTGTGTGTGGAAGCATGAGGAGTGTTGAAATATTATTGTGTTTTTATTCGATTTTTTCTGGTTTGGTGGTTTTTCGGGTGGAATGGTTCTGTACTTTGCTGTGTTAAGGGATTGTGTTGTAGCGGAGGAGGACGGGGAGGGAGGGAGAAGACACTGACGGGGCAAGATAAGGCTATACAGGTTACTACTCAATAACACGAGGCTAATATTAGATCACTGATGACACGACGTTGGCGGCTCCACACACACACACACACACACACACACACAAAGGCACCTGCCAGCTCACCTTCATCCCTTCCTCCTCTACCTGCTCCAGTTCTTCTCCCATGAAAGCGATCACTCAAGAAGGAATTATTTCGCTCACATTGACACCCGGAGCTATATATAAACCTCGTAAGAAAGTTTTTAAGTAACAGCAAAAACAGCAGGACAGCATCTCGAGTACCTGTGATAATACACACTGAGAGCCGCTGCCGGTACTGCCCCGCTGCCACGACGCACGACTCCTGCACAACGTTTACAGAAGTGAGCCAAAAAATTCCTAAGACCTCTGGGTCGTCTTTACCTGTCAGATGGAAATATTTACCATTGCACCGTGTGTGTGTGTGTGTGTGTGTGTGTGTGTGTGTGTGTGTGTGTGTGTGTGTGTGTGTGTGTGTGTGTGTGTGTGTGTGTGTGTTTGTTGTTGTGTGTTGTGTGTTGTGTTGTGTGTTGTGTTGTTGTGTTGTGTGTTGTGTGTGTGTGTGTGTGTGTGTGTGTGTGTGTGTGTGTGTGTGTGTGTGTGTGTGTGTGTGTGTGTGTGTGTGTGTGTGTGTGTGTTGTTGTGTGTGTGTGTGTGTGTGTGTGTGTGTGTGTGTGTGTGTGTGTGTGTGTGTGTGTGTGTGTGTGTGTGTGTGTGTGTGTGTGTGTGTGTGTGTGTGTGTGTGTGTGTGTGTGTGTGTGTGTGTGTGTGTGTGTGTGTGTGTGTGTGTGTGTGTGTGTGTGTGTGTGTGTGTGTGTGTGTGTGTGTGTGTGTGTGTGTGTGTGTGTGTGTGTGTGTGTGTGTGTGTGTGTGTGTGTGTGTGTGTGTGTGTGTGTGTGTGTGTGTGTGTGTGTGTGTGTGTGTGTGTGTGTGTGTGTGTGTGTGTGTGTGTGTGTGTGTGTGTGTGTGTGTGTGTGTGTGTGTCAAAGTTTACCTCGGAAATACCTGGTTCTCTCATGACGTAATTTTTTTGAGTCTTCCTTATTCCTGGGTGGAGGGTGACAGGTGAGGTGTAGGAGTGACAGGTGTGGTGAAGGCGTTGGTGGGAGGAGGGGTAGAAGGAAGGAGGAGGAGGTGGAAGGAAGAGAGGTAAGAGGACTCGGTATCACATTACTTCAAGATAAGAGAGAGAGAGAGGGAGGGAGAGAGAGAGAGAGAGAGAGAGAGAGAGAGAGAGAGAGATAGAACAAACGAGAAAGAGGGAGGAGAAGAGAGAAAGAACAAGGAAGAAAAGGAGAGAACAAGGAAGAGACACAAGAGAGAGTGGGAGGAGGCAGAGAGATATAGAGCAAACAAAAG